GTTGTAGTTGTTGAATGTGCCGTTTATTTCCTTATTTCCTCTCACTGGAGAATAGCTGTGCTGTGTTTCTGTTGATTTTAAAGCAAGGTGACTCTTGACTCATCTCCCGTTGTTTCAAATAGCTTAGAAATGCACTACTTTGGTTTGAACTTGGGGATTTTTGTTTGCCTTTTTTTTTTTTTTTAAATTTTTGCCACTGAGTAAAGCGAGGTAATGAACATTAAAATCTACTCACATTTCTGCAAATTAGTGGCAGAAGAATCAATCATAAGAGTTTTAAAAGAGGTTTTAAGTTGCAAAGTCAAGCATTCAGAAAATTAGAAAACATAAGAATAGAAATATTCTGTGTAATTTTGATTTTACGCATTCATGCATATATAGTATGAGGCAACCTCTGTGTCATCAGTTCTGTATTTTCCATTGTGTATAACTGATAAGTCATCGATTCAGTGTTTTCCTTGCAGTTCTGCTGCTATTCTCATTTTCAAAATTTAGGTGTACAAAGTAGAACTAAAGCTAGAGAAAAAACTTTGCTATGTGGATTTGATCCTGCACAGAAGAAGTAAGTAGGAACTTTCCTGTTATTTGTTATAGGAACTAGTCATAGATGTTTCATCACAATGTTCCCTTTAAAACATGTTTAATGTTCTGATTCATTTACAGTCAAAATACTGAATTGATGTTACTTAATTTAAATGCAGTTTTGTTGACATAAAACTTTCCAGTGGCTTATTCTGGTTTAGCCTTTGGTTTCCTTTTATGTCTTCCTTTCTGTACAGCTGAATGAGCTGGTTATTTCTGTCCCTGCAAATAGGAATATTGGTTGTTTACAGTGATTCCAGTCATACAAGGACACAACTAAATGTCCTTGCCTTTGCAGGACAAGTTCATTTTAGCAGTGATTTATAATTACATTCTATTCTAAATTCTTCGTAAGAACATACATAGTCAACAACTTAATATGGTCAAAAAGAATTATTTTTTAATTTCTTTTTTCCTACAAGGAGCAGGGAATACAAAACTAAATAAAGCTAATGAGTAAATGGTGGGGGAAGGGCAAGGCAAAACAGTGGTTTATCTTTCTTTGTCAAAACAAAGCTGAATAAGAAGCTTGTGCTACTAAGAAAGTTTGGCTGGTGTTACAGAGAGAGAGGGAGAGCCCTTCAGTTAAAAACAGAAGAGCAGTCATACAGTTGCTGTTGTTGACTTTTTTTTTTTTACCCTACATGCAGAAAATATTTGGCATTCCCCAACAAAACCCACGAAAACACCTACGTCAAAAAGTTAAATAGGTTTCAAAATCAATTATTAAAGGTCAAGAAATACCACATGTATATAAATGACCAGAAGAATTCAAATTCTACCTCTCTGTGCCTCCAGCCGGGAGACTGAATGAAGGAGGATTGTGTTAGAAGCAAACAAGCAAAAACCCTAAATTATGTGAGCACATAGTTAAAGATTACCAGTCCCCCTTCGGTTCGCAGGAAGGTGGAATTACATTTCCTGTTAGCTTTAGTTATTCAGGTTTTTTAAAGAAGGCTTGCTGCTAATTGAAATGTCACAGCAAAAGGCTA